CTTTTTTTAAAATTTATTTTCTTTTTATTTGTGTGTGTGTGTGTGTGTGTGTGTGTGTGTGTGTGTGTGTGTGTGTGTGTGTGTGTTCAGGGTATGAAGCACATGAGTTTGTGAAGCATAAGGTGAGAAGTGTGGAGCTGTGAGGCACATGTGGAGTATGAGGTGTGCATGGGATGTGAGGAGTGTGGGACTGTGGGGTGTGAACTGAGTGTGGAATCGGTGAACACATAGGCTCACACTGCTCTGTGGGCCTGACCCTGACCTGTGAGGGAGGACCTGACCTATAAGGGAAGACCCATTGTTTTAGTCGCTCATCCCAGCCCCAGACCACTCTTCTTCCTGTAAGTTCCCTCTCCACGGTCCCTGGCTTCCAACAGGCAAACTTCCAAAGAGCAGGAACTTGGGATGGGGACAGGAACCATGTGTCATTTGTGGGGGCACAGACATCGTCAGCGCCTCCTCTATGCTTCATCCCATCCTCTGGAAGACCAAGTAACCCAGGCCCTGGCCCAGGCAGGCTAGCAGCTGGATAGTCTAAGAACAGATCGTGCACAATCATTGTCCTCTCCACCTGGTGGTCATCAGTCATCAACACACTCAGTTTAGGGGAGGGACTGGCTTCCGGAGGGCACCAGCAAATGCTGAGCCAGATGTGTGAGAGCGGGACAAGGGCCCTAGACCCCCAGGATTTCAGAGCCGTGGGCAGAGCGGCTGCTCTGGGCTTCTCTATGCTTGTCCCCACAGGAGAGAAATATACTTCCACACAGATGGCAAGACCTTCTTGCTGCTCTTGGGAATCTGCATTTCATACCACTTACTGGCTCCCAGACTCCTCAGCCCTGAGGGTCAGAGAAGCCTCTTGGGGGTCTGGCTGCTACAGCTCAAAGTCTAGGGGGGGGACACAGAAGGTCAGGTACAGGCCTTGACGTGCCCAGCATACTCAAGGTGACAAAGATCTATCCAGGGTTAAGGGGTCTAGACTGGTTGAAATCCTAGTCCTCCCACCTACTGGTGACCTGTCAAGATATAGCAACTCCCCAGACTGCCATCTTAGGCCTGTGGAAAAGGTGTGACAAAGCCGTGCTGTTGAAGGCAGAAAGACTTGAGGTAGTCCCTCCCCAGTATGACTGACACACGCACACACACAGGAAGAATGCATGTGAAGATCAGGGCGCTTCTTCTATAGGCAAGGACACCACACGGCAGCAACCACCAGATTCTGGGGAGAAACCTAGAACAGATTCTCCCTCAGGCCTAGGAGGCGACAGCCCACAGAAACCTTGATCTTGAACTTGCAGCCTGAAGCACTGTGAGGCACACCTTTCTAGTGTTCAAGGCCCTGAGCTCTGTCTCAGCAGCCTTAGCAGATTCACCCAATGTTTAATGAACCAGAGTTGGGAAAATGCTCTGCATTACCTGATGTGTGTCCAGCCCTCTCCCAGGGCCCACATGCGATGGGGGGTTTCCCCTCCCAGATCCACATGCAATAGGAATGTCCTCTCCCTATGCCCACACGCAGCAGGGTGCAGTCACTCACTGGTCATTGAAGAGGCTGAAGACCTAAGGTATCCACTTTTAAAAAATAATCAGGAAACTTCTAGGAATGGGATGACACATTCTGGGAGCAGTGGCCCTCCTGCGTGAAGTGCAATCGAAGGGCTGATCTTGTTAAGATGGATCAGTGGAGCCCATTTCTTCTTGGGATACTGGGGCAAGAGTTTGAGTTTAAGCATTGTTAGAACACTGTTAATGAAATTGTCAAGCTACTGTTAATAATAAGCTTTTAATTATAAATACTCTTAATTTTTTATTTCTTTATGTATATGAGTGTTTTGCCTGCATGTATGTAAGTCTACCACATGTGTGCAGTGCTCACAGAGACCAGAAAACAGTGTCACATCCCTTAGAACTGGAGTTATGGATGGTTGCTTAGCCACCATGTGGGTGCTGGGAACTGAACCCATACCTTCTACAGGAGTGGTCAGTGTTCTTAACCACTGAGCCATGGCCTCTTCAGCCCCCAAGTAACCATCATTTTTTTTTGTCTTTTTGAGAGAGGGTCTCCCTGTAGCTGCAGCTGGCCTGGATTCACTATGGCGACCAGGCTGGCCTCAAATGCACAGAGATCCACCTGCCTCTGCCTCCCGAGTGCTGAGAATAAAGGTGTGCACCACCACGCCCGGTGTAAGCACCATTTTAATGTTTATTTTTCCTTTAAGCAAGCTGAGATGTTGGGGTACAGAGTGATTTGACTCCGAAACTGACACTCCCTGTGGTACCCTGGCTGTCCTGAGCAAAAGATTACCAATCAAGCAGGCATCTGGACTGCCTTCAGGCAAATACTTTAAATACTCCCTGGACACCTTGAGGAAGCGACACAGTAATCACAACTGCCGAAGAACAGCTCCAGAAGGCACCGTTCTAGCTATGACTGCTTCAGTTTGTACTGGACTTTTTGCCTTCATAGCCTGGGTGAACTCTACATGACCCCTCAGCCATTTTCACCCAGGCCAGAGAGGGTAGAGTAGGAGGTAGGTGAGGGGGTGCACGTACCCAAGTGGCATAGCAGAAGGCCTGTGATTGGTACAAAGACCCTCCTTTGTTTGCATAAAGGTTTCCCATGATTGGTGTCAACATCTTCACCATAATCCCTCCCTGGCTATGTAAGCAGACTGTTTAGTTCACTTTCCCTACCAGCCCGGAGTCACCTTCCTGTGTGGCCTCTGGTGTTGCAACATTAGGTCCAACCAAAGGCGTCTTTTGAGTGGTCACTTGTTGCCTACTTTTCACCCGTATCATTGAAAGAGTGGGCTGAGCTGATAACACAGAGGCAGCAGCTGGGGGACAGCAGTGGCAGTAACAGTGGTGATCACCATAGGGCTGAGGGTCCCAGCACCGGAGGTCTGCATAAGCGCCGTGATAGTAGGCAGAGCCACCTGCTGCTGCTTGCTGATGTGTGCTACTGCCATTCCTTGTTGCTGGAAGCCCAGGATTACAATAGCTGCCGATGCCCAGGCTGCTGATGGCTGAAGCCCAGAGCAATAAACCTTTAATCTGAGTGGCTAGAGCCATGGGGCTTTAGGTCTGCAGCTCTCAGGGCTTGGGACTCTAAGATTCTAGGTCCAGTAGTTCTATCCCTAGGTCTTGGGCACTCAAGGGCCAGAAACAGCCAGCACTGAAAGAGCCTTTCCTCAATTACTCCTATCTAGATGGAGCAAAAGGAGCCCAGTGGTGCAAGCCCAGTCTCAATGCCTACACTGAAATTCTCTGCATTATTGATTTACTTGTCTTCTCCCCCATACACCTCTCCCGGAGTCCCCCAGGGCCACCTCTGTCACCCTGTCCTATGTGCTGCATACCTTCTATAGCTTGCCCGGCTCCTTGCTAACTAGGCTGAGCCTCAGCCTCAACCAAGTGCCAAGACCACAGAAAATGAACAGAACCCAGCTTCTGATTCTTGCTAGTAACTTTTTTTTTTTTTGGTCTTTTTTTTTTTTGAGACAAGATCTTCCTATAGCCCCAGCTGGCCTGGAGCTCACTATGTAGACCAGGCTGGCCTTGAACTCAGAGATTTGCCTGCCTCTGCCTCCCAAGTGCTGGGATAAAAGGCATGGACCACTTCTCCTGGTGTAACTGTGCTTTTACAACTGGGGAGTCAACATCTTCCCCACAGCCTGTTTCCCAGGTTCCCC